AAAAAAAAATATTTCGCTTACGAAACAAAGGTTTGTTTTGAATTTCGCGCAAAACAACACGAGGGCTATCTACGATAGCCGTCCATAATTTTTTAGTGTAAGGCATCTAGTTATCACCAGCCAACTCTTAGGCTAGTGATAACTACAACAGCCCGTCACATTATAACATCCCCACAGCTGAAAGGTCGAGCACGTTTAATGGGACGAGGATTCGAACCCGCGACCATCAAATTGCGAGTCAAGTGCCTTAACCACCTAACAAATGAAGTACATTTAGCATTACCTCTATACCTATATATTTAAAAGAACTGCGAAACATCAAGATAGTACAAAGTATGTAGTGACAATGTGAAAATTCAGAAATATTTTTAAATATTTGCTTGAAGGGATAATTATTTTCATGCCTACAACGCCAAACGAACTTGTTAGGTTTCTTAACCACATTCCAAGTACTTCCAATTTGCTGCAGATTTCAGAAATATAAATCGAAACTCGGAGAATTGATTTAAATTGGAAAATATTTTCATTTTTTAAGAACTTTTAATGAAGTTTATTTTTCATTTAAATAAACATGTCTAACTTGATCTAACCTCACATAAACTGACCTAACCAAGCAAAATAAAAAATTAAAATATTTCTTTTAATTTCTCCAAATTTTAATTTTAATTTGAAATTAGCATTAAAAACTATATATTATTTTCTATTTGAACGCGGTGCATGAAAAGATCCATTTGTTTAATAAGCTTCTGGGCCAAGTTTAATGGTGTGCACGAGGACTTAGGCGAAGTTCCAAACAGGAACAAAGGGCAAGTTACGCCCTTATCTGCCAAACGCGGGATTGATCTTTGGCAACTGAACATATGACCGTATACATAGAAACCAAACTTTTTATATGAATAAGAGAACACTGCTGTTATGTACTGACGTTCAGTACAACGCGATGTAATTTAATATGGGAATATATTTAGGAAAGAAAAAAGTTTTAACATAATGCATAGATATATAAGAAACTTTTTGATGCTAACAAACTAGCAGAGCTATGGTTAGAGCACTAAATTCAAGCTCATGGAGACTTTGCTTTTTAAATGTTTAAAAATGATAATAAGTTTATGACGTCTACTGAACGTAAACTCGGATTTTTCTTGCGCCATCCTCTTTCATTAATTTATATACTTTTATTAATTGCATACAAGCTTCGGTCGAAAAATGTATCTAACTATGCATTCCATTGCCTTTAGAACAAATTTTTACCTGGGAAGCTAGAACACCCTTAACCGTGATTTGGGGGCTTTCTTTATTCGTCAAGAAAAGAAAAAATAAGCCTAGATGTTAGATCCTAATTTCAGTCAGAATGACCAATTGGGAGAGCTTTGAAGATAGATTACTACTCAGCGAAACATCTGTTGTAACTTAAATTAAGTTAAGGAACACGTTATCTTGGCTATCATAGATTCAACCCCAAATTAAGTATTAAATTGTACTCTTCTGTACTGGTCTCCCTCTCGTTGGCTTCTGCTTCACGTGGGGTTCATCTGCTCCACCAGGAAATGTCCTATTATCTGTAATAGTCACATCAGTGGTAGTAACTTCATTAACGACTTCACTGTTTTCCTTCTCAAAACCGGGTACAGTTTCTTCTTCAACAGTGGCTTTTTCAGGTGACACATCTTCAGCAGGGTCATTTGTTCTGTTATTCACTTTGTTCCAACTGAAATATCCTGGACCGTGATAACACCAAAGCCTGTTGGCATGTACCACCTTTGGCTTACCTCGCCGATCACATTTTATTCAGAAAGTTACGTCTGAGAGACGAACGATTATGCCATATGGGCCTTCCCATGGAGAAGACTACTTGGGTGACTTCCCTTTGGTCTTCCTGGGATTATACAACCATACCTTGTCTCCTGATACAGAGCTGACTTCAGTA